AAAAAAAAAAAAAAGTTTCTCTAAAATGAAGAGATGTTTTAGCTAATGAAACATAAAAACTTCTTCAATTTCTATATTATTAATACTATTATTATTAATAGCTACAGTTTTGTAACCATTTATATTTATAGGGTACAAAGCAATGTTATGAATCATGAATACAATTTGGAAAAATTAAAATGAGCTAATTAAACTATTCATCACCTTGAACAGAATCCTTCTAAAAATAAATACTTTTTAAATAAAAACTTAAACTCTAGAGTTTAAGTTAATTTGTTATTGACTGAGCATAATAAAACTATAAATATCCAAGCCCATATAAACAAATGGCTCTAGGGATAAAATCTCCTAATGATAAAAAATTTAATATTAAGTTCTAGATTTCTGTGACCATATGATTTGAAATTCCAAACTATCCAGCTGACCTGTTTGGTGTTTTTTTAATTTTTTTGTTTGTTTTGTTTTTATTGGACACAGTCTCATTCTATTGCCTGTGTTGGAGTGCAGTGGTGACACTGCAGCTCACTACAGTCTCAAATTCCTGGGCCTACACCATCCTCTTACCTTAGCCTCCCCAGTAGATGGGACTACAGGTGCATGCCCCTACATCCTGCTAATTTTTGTAGAGATAGGGTATTGCTATGTTGCTCAGACTGGTCTCAAACTCTAGCCTGGGCAACAGAGTGAGACTCTGTCTCCAAAAATAATAATAATATAAATAAATAAATAAATAATAATAATGGCCAGGCGCAGTGGCTTACACCTGTAATCCCAGCACTCTGGGAGACCAAGGCAGACAGATCACCTGAGCCTGCCAGTTCAAGACCAGCCTTAGCTAGAGTGAGACCTTCTCTCTAAAAATAGCCTGGCATGGTGGCAGGCACCTGTAGTCCCAGCTATGTGGGAAGCTGAGGCAAGAGAATAAATCACTTGAGCCCTGGATTTTGAGGTTGCTATGAACTATGATGTCACAGCACTCTACTGAGGGTGACAAAATGAGACTCTGTCTCAAAGAAAAAAAAATGATAATAGCAAAAGTTGATACAAAAATTTTAGTTTGAGATTATAATTAAGCTACATGTTACCAAAAAATACGGCAATAAGCCCAACTAACCTCCCAGAACAGATCTCTGTAATAACCAAGTCCCCAGCCCTTGACCCCCCTCCCTAAGACCAGTGGGGAACCAGCCCCCTACCCTTGAAAAGGAAATCTCTCCTAAGCTTTTAATTCCAGCCCTCTCATGGGTAGAGAAACAGCCTGAAATTGAGGAAGTATGCAGAGAGGGGTTGAGGAAGGGAGGGTTGATTCCAAATAAAGCCCCGGGTGAAGCGGTCCCAAGTTGTTCTTGGAAATTTACTCAACACTTGTTTTGTACTCCTGAACTATAAACTAATGTACCCTAAGTAAACATGTACCTCCACCCTAAATTGTGTAAACCCCTATGACATACCCCATCTTGTAATTATGAAGTAATGTACTTGTGATACATCTTGTGAAGTATGAATCAGTATGTACCCCTACCCTGTGACCTGGTACTAACTGCTATGATTGGTTTCTGTATTGCACTAGCTTGCTAGTCACCATGACTATGCAGAATAATGGTATAAAAAGGCTTCTCCCCCACTATTCGAGGCTTCTTGTTGGCCCACCACAAGAGCCCCCTGCAGGTGCACCTGTACATGTATCAAATTATTAATAAATTTCTATTACTTAATTCTACCTCAAGTGGGGGTCCATCCTTCTCTCTCATCTTCCATCCCATTTCAAACTCGTCAAGAGGGACTAATAAATTATACAAACTGTAAAATTTACAGATAAAGCCAGTTCAATACTGCCACTGAGAAGCCTTTCTCTTTTTTTTCCCTTTTTCTTGAGACAGAGACTATGTTGCCTTTTTTTTTT